GGAACAGAACAGTGTATATATCATATCATCAAAGGATGTGTGCATTCATGTTTGGGGAGACAAGATTGAAGTGTAGAAGAAAAAGAAGACACATCATTATTTTTGTATGCAGAGACTGTCTGGAGGGATACTTAAGAAACTGATGACATTTATTGGCTCAAGAAAGAAACTGAGTAGGGGAACATGGAAAGAGAAACTTATTACCGGGTACACGTTTGCAGTTTTTTTTTTTTTTTTTTAACTTTTGAATGATGTGAAAAGATTACTTAATAAAAATTTGATTAACTGCACAGAAAGAAATTGCATATTACCACAAGTTTAAAAACTGGAATGCATACTTGGTAAACTAACTGTAGCATGAGCATTATTTTGTAGTTGTTCTAGGAAATATATGTAAATCTCTGAAATAGTTCTTTCATTTCTAAAACCTAGATTAACCCATAAAGCCAAGACAAATTCATGTGTCAGGCAAATGACTTTCAGCAAAACCCTAGTGATTTTTGAACCAACCTTAGTACCATCACTAAATTTGAAAAAAAAAATTTCCAAATTTTTTAGAAAACCTGAAATATAGAAATGTAAAAGCTTTCATATATTTCTCAAAATTCTGGAAGCCATTACTACCTATCTTTACCAGAATTTACCAGAAGATGGGGCATCAAACTTAATAACAAAAAGATGTGTTTTGCTTTCTACACATTTGGTATCACAGATTTTATGCTGTTCCGCAAAAACACAGGGAGGAGGAGGAGGGTTCCAAGTGTTCCACTGTCTGGTAAGCTGATTGTTAGCACGTGTTCCTGAGGTCATTTCCAAGATGCAGCTTTCTAGAACACTTTCCAGAAGTTTAGTGGGGACCTAGAGACATCCCCAAACTGTGTTTTTCCTTCTATGTGCAGAGCCACAAAAACAGGGGTGGGGTCATTTTACATGTCAATTCTAGAGGAAGGATCTATGGCCTCTTCTACCACCTCTGCTCCAGATAATCTATAGCTGAAGTGCTTCATGTTCCTTCTGGGGGTGAATCAATCAAGAGGAAATGTTACCTGCTTCCACACATTTCTCATCAATCCTCATGTCATCTTCTATAAAAGAGCATAGTAAGGAAAGAGAATTAATAATATGTCAGCATTAAAAACAGCATTCCCCATGTAGAGGCTGTGTCAACAAAACTGAGACCACCTTACAATGTTGTTTGTGGAACTATCACATATTTGGTGAGATAAAATGGACTCTACTGTATTAGATGAAAATGTGTAACATAGAAGGCAAAATACATAAAATGTTATATTGGAGCATTAGATTGTCAGTGCTGAGAAAATCAGTTATCTCAAAGCCATAAATGGGGGAAATAATACCATATAGACTAAGATTCATTGAGATAGTTCATGAAAATATCAGGTACATGGTAAGTGCTCAATAAATGGTAGCTGATTTTACCTTTAGCTGACGCATATATAAGAGAATTAAAGAATGAAACTTAAAACCATTTATGGGATGAGATAGACATCATTACCCTAGATACATGTATGACTGCATATATGGTGCGATGCTATTTCGTGTACAATCAGAGAAATGAAAAGTTGTGCTGCAATTGTGTACAATGAGTCAAAATGCTTTCTGCTGTTACATATACCTAATTAATTATTTTTTAAAAACACTTATCCTAACACTCAAAAGCCTTCATCATGTGACCCCAGTTAGAAGGTCCATATCTCCCCTTACATCTCTTATATCACTGTTAGAGCTCACCACATGGGTCTTTCTGTTGTGCCTTAGTGTATGTTGTTTTTTCCCTGTGCCTATGACACATCAAGACCCACCTCAAACAATGATTAAAATAAATACCCTTCTCTAAACCTCCACAGCATGTTCTTCCAACTACCTTGAACTTGGACTACTATATATCTCTTCTTTTGTGATGTAATCATTTGAGTGTTTGTTTTACTTATTCTCCTAGAATGTTCCCTGAAAGCAGGCACTATCTAGTTTTCACATACTCTACAGAGCTCAGAACAATGCCTTGCACATAGTAGCTATAAGATTAATTATTCATTAATTTGAATTTACTTTTGAAGATTAAAATAGTTGATTTGAAAATGCCTCCTGAGAATTTTTTTTTTCTTTCAGCATTGTACATCTTGTGCCTAGCATAGTGCCCAGCACTTTCCAGATGCTCAAAACAAATAGTGGCTTAATAAATGAGTCTTATACATGTCACCAAAATTCAAAGTCTAAGCAACAGTCTATAATATTATAAAGTAACACTTATCACCACTGCCTTAAAAACTATATCATTCATTATTGTTTTTAAATAAAATATGAAACATGATAAATTTTAAGAAGTAATATTCTCATGGAGACTAGCACAGATAAACAAGTAACACAGCTGAGATATTTAGCCCAGGTACATGGTAAGTGCTCAATAAATGGTAGTTGATTTTACCTTCAGCTGATGCATATATAAGAGAATTAAAGAATGAAACTTAAAAACCACTTATGGGATGAGATAGACATCATTACCCTAGGTACATGTATGACTGCATTTTATCATTCAGATAAGATGGAAGCTTTTATTCATTTAGAGATTACTTTCCAGATTAGCCATTTATATTAACAGGTCATAGCTAAAGTGTTTTTTTGAAAGCAAATAAAAACTACAATTGTCATTTCTATTTTACAACATAGGTATAGAAACCAGAAATGATTCTCCAATGATCACACAAGGACCCCTGAGGCTCTTCTGACATGTGACTCTGGAATCTAGGATAGGGGAACTGCTTTTATTCTCCCAAATCAGCAATTCTACATTACTAGCTAGGGTGGGTGCTACAGAATGAATTAGTTCCCACCGTGTTCATAGGTTGAAGCACCAGCCCTCAACATGATTGAATTTAGAGATAGGGTCTTTTAGAGATAATTAAGGTAAAATGAAGACCTTGGGATGGAACCTAATGCCAAAAGGACTTAGCAGCAGATGAAGAGACAATAGATATCTATCTTCCCAAGTATGTACTTAAGAAAGGCCACATGAATACACAGTAACCAGGTGGCTGTCTACAAGCCTGGAAGAGAGGCCACAACAAAACAAACTTGATCTTGAACTTCCAGCTTCCTGAACTGGAAAATAAACGTCTGTGTATCTCATTAGGCGGCCCACTCTAAGACAGCCCACCCACTGAGTGTCAACCCCTCCCCAAGTGCCAGAGCCAGACTGCCCTTCACAGCGCTGCCGTTGACGTGGCCTTGGATACACAAACCTAAGTGAACCCTCGACTTGGCTCTCTTCCACCTCCTCTGGTTCCCTGCCTGTGTCATATACAACTCCTGTCCTTGGAGGACCCAGGCTGGAGCCTATGCTGAGAGATCAATTCTCAAAAGTCCCACTCAGGAGTTCTCAGGACTCTTGTTTGTGCATGTACATGTGCATTTGTGACATCATAGTGCATTATCTGGATGGTTAGACATGGACAAGGGGACGAGGTAGTCACTGAAGGTTCTACTTGCCCCCGATACAGGGTCATTCAGATAAGATGGAATCTACATTGTTTGCAACTTCTGACAAACGTTATTGGGGTTTTTCTGAACCTCAATCTTTTCATCCATAAGACGGTGAAAATAATTGCAATCTCCCTGCAGTGTTTTTTTTTTCTTTCCCCTTTTTAATTTGTACATTATAGTTGTACACAATGGTGAGATTTTTTGCTACACATTCATACATACAAGATAATATAATTTGGCCACTATCACTCCCCAGCACTCCCCCCCCATCCTTCCCTCCTCTCACCACCTGGTCCCTTTAATCTACTGCTCACCTTTGATTTTCATGAGATCCACATCCCCCTTTCTTTTCCTTTTGCCTCTATAGCTCCCACATATGACAAAAAACACACAACCTTTGACCTTCTGAGTTTGGTTTATTTTGCTTAACATAATGGTCTCAAGTTCCATCTATTTTCCTGCAAATGACATAATTTCATTTTTCTTTATGGCTGAATAAAACTCTATTTTGTATATATTCCACATTTTCTTTATCCATTCATCTGTTGATGGACACCTAGGCTGATTCCATAGTTTGGCTCTTGTGAATTATGCTGCTATAAACATGGGTAGCATGTATCACTGTAATAAGATAACTTTAATTCTGTAAGGTAAATACCAAGAAGTGGTATTGCTGGGTCATATGGTGGTTCCTTGCCTAGTCTTTTGAGGCACTTCCATACTGATTTCCACAGGGGTTGTACTAATTTACAGTCCCACCAACAGTGTGAAAGTGTCCCCTTTTCTCTACATCCTCTCTACCATTTCTTATAGTTTGCATTTTTTTTTAAACTTCAGAATTTATTTAAACAGAAACCTGTAGATTTAAACAAGAGGGGGAATGGAAGGTAAAAAAACAGCATCTCCAGGAAAACAGCCCAAACCTGTTGTGCCCTCCCAAATAGTAAAATAGGTATAAGGAGCCCAAAGACCATATGCCTACCCGATGAGGCTCTGCACACACTTTAGACTACCGAACTCTAAGCTTCATTGTACAAATCGAACTTGAAATGTGTATCAAAATCACCAGCCAAAACAGCTTTTCAAAGCTGAAGGCTCAAAGCCCAAGTTTAGATACCATCACAGTGTGGAATATCTGCAATCTTGTGTCCCTGTGGGAGGAAGAGCAGCATCCACCAAGTGGTGCCTCTGAACTTGGGCCACTGACCACAGAAACCACCCCAGGAAGGCTATGATAGGTGCTGAGTGACAGCAAAAAGGCACATGTCCCTGTTCAAGTTGTTCATTCCTGGGTGGTTGTAAGTGTTCTTTCTACTTACCTAATCAAGATAATCAACTGAACTTATCAATGTTCTGGGATGAAAATGGAAGAGCACTTATTACAGAACTTTTGTTTTCATGTTTGGTAATATAAAAACTCACTGGATTTTATAAAAATTTCTTCCAACAGATTACTGAATCTACAAAACACTGAGAATTTCCCCAAGAAGGACTGCACATAAACCACAAATGCAACTCATGGACAAGAGCTGCTCTTATTGCGGGTGGCCAATAACACTGTTTTAGGTCATGAAATTAATATCTCATGATAAATATGCTGAGTGAAGACGGCATAGTTTGGGGCACAATTGCACATTCAGATGAAGCACTGCTGATCAGGGCACACCGGAGCTGGGAGCATCCAGAGGTCCTTTATGACTTCTCCTCCTCATCTTTAATTTCGGAAATTCTGTCTATGGCTTTCAGGATTTCAGCAACAAAATTCAACGTTTCAGCTCCAGAAACCAGCTGCTTTATGGAGGCATGTGCACCGTTCATGACAACACGGAGATTCTGTAAGGCCATGTCAGTGTTCTGCTTTACCACCGTCAGGCTGGCACCCTGGCCCGACCTCAGGGCTTCATTCTCGCGCTTGAAGTTGGAGACCTGTGCCTGGAGCAAGTTTATTTCCTGTTTCAGCATTATGACGTGATTTTCTGCCTTTACAGCTCGTTTCATCATCAGCTCCAGGTTCTGCTCCACCTGCTGGACCACTGACTCCAGGTCATGGTAGTCACTCACCTCCTTGATCCTCTTTGCCTCTAGCTCCCGCTCAAGTGTCCTTATCATTTCTGTTTGAGTATCGGAGAAGCTCTGAACCTCATTCAGCTTTCTTCTTAGCTTAGAATTTTCATCTTTCAGGGTTTCATAGCTTATCTGCAGCGTGCGCAGGTGTCTGTCACCCAGAGACTCCCCAAGAGTTGCAAACTCTGTACCAGGACTCGCCGCACAGGGTGCTGTGCCGGCCAAGGCCCTGCAGGAGAGCGTCTTCTCCACCGCAGATGGCAAATAGGCCCCATTCCACCGCCTGTTTTCGTCTTTCGCCTCCTCATCCAGGATGTTGCCAGTCCCTGTGGGGCCTTCAAAAAATGGCTGCTGATATTCCAGGCCGTAGGCCACAGCCGGGTGGGTGGGAGCGCTGTGGTCCAGTCCCAATGAGTGCCTCGAGGCTTCCTTTGGATAAATTCTGCTGTTGGTCATGTCCTCTTTCGTTAGACCAAGGTTCTTGGTTTTCAGAAACTCTTTAAAGGAGAATGGATTTGCCTCTTCAAGGTCTTCCAGTTTGTCATTATCGGGAACAACGAGGCTTCGGGCCCGGGACATCGGTATGGCACCCAGGCGGCGCGCGTAGCCCGACATCATGGCAGTGGCGTGGCCAGGCCTCGGCCTCACAGCCGGCCACCGCGTCGCAGCCACCGCTCTCATCCTCTGGCCGCCGCTCCCATCCTCTGGCCGCCGCTCCCATCCTCTGGCCGCTGCTTCCCATAGTTGGCCTTCTTGATAACTGCCATTCTGACGGTGTGCGTGAAAGCTCAGTAGGGTTTTTTTTTTTTTTTTTAGTATTTTTTTTACTTGTAGTTGGACACAATACCTTTATTTTATTTATTTTTATTCGGTGCTGAGGATCGAGCACAGAGTCTCACACGTGCCAGGCGAGCTCTCTACCGCTCAGCCCCAGCCCCACGCCCCCAATATAGTTTCTATTTGCATTTACCTAATTACTAATGGTATTGAACATTTTCCATCTATCTTTGGCCATTTGTATTTCTTCTTTTGAGAAGTGTCTGTTTAATTCATCTGCCCATTTATTAACTGGGTTACTTGGTTTTTTTGTTAAGTTTTTTTAGAGTTATTTATATATTCTAGATATTCATCCTCTGTCAGAAGAGTAGCTAGCAGTGATATTTTCCCATTCCCTGCAGTGTCTTTTTTATAAAATACATCAAAAGCAGTTGAAATAAGATATCTGATCAGTTTCACAACTCATTGGGTTCTTATTATGCGCTGTGTTAGACTCAGAGTTATGTATAAATGTTACTTTTCTTTCCTTAATTCTTTTCAGTGTTAAGATAGTTATGCTTTGAATTCTAGCACACTAATGGGTACATAGGAAGTTTAAAAAAATACCTGAACTGAATTGAAGTGATTTTTTAAAACTAGAAGAAATTTCTAGGAGACTTTTAATATAAGATCTTCCTGCCCTGAATGTTATTTCTTACCTTCTTCCATAGAAATCACTGGTTATGTTCAAATGATGGAAGCAGGAGGAGAAAAAGGGAACACAATGGTTTATGCTCTCATTTCTCAGATTAATTTACATTAAGAAAAGCAAAGTGCCAATATTATTGTAATTGATCTTCGAGAAATTTAGTGGAAATTCAATAACAAATGATAAATGACTATATTTGGGAGAAGCTCCCTGCTTCTGGCAACTCCCATCCTCTTTCAACCCAATTAGCTGTATGAGAATCACACAGTTGACTCATTTCTGAATTAATGCTCTTACACTTCAGTGTATTTTAGGAACTAAAATCTTGAATGGAAGGAAGGAATAAAGGAAGAAAAAAAGAAAAGTAGCTGGGAAGGAGGAAGGAAGGAGGGAGTAGGAAGGGAGGGAAAGAAAGGCAGATGACAACACTTTTCAGTATAACAATAATCTGCAAACTACCAAAGGCTAGGAATTTTTCAAAACCTCTGAGTCAGTTGACTATACCTCTTCAATTAGTAGCTTGTTCCTGAGATCTGCCCCTCCCCCCCCCCCCGCACCTCCACAATGGGAAGATTTAAGCAGAACTTAAAAGATGTAAAATAATATTTATTATAGTATCATCTACAACAGCTAAAAAGAAATGATCTAGTAGTTTCAAAAGTGATCATGCTCCATCAGAAACATGCCCTGTGAGAGATATCTCTTTAAGTTAGTGGCTGCAGACCTGGTTTCTGTACTCAGGAATGTGTGAAGATACTAAGAGGCGATATAAACTACTTTCAGTATAATTAAAAGTCTACTGTAAATCACACTTAGGCTACAGGAGCAAATGACGTGCCAACCCGACATACAAGTTATCAGATACTGTCTGGAAAGTCTAATTAACATCTCCCTGTGCCTTTGGTGATTGAAATAGGTAAGTGAATAAAGAATTTTTTCAGTCTAGATTGGTTTAAGAGGGGGAACAAAGGTTTTTCAGGGACTGGGGATGTAGCTTACTGGCAGAGCACTTGCCTGGCATGTGTGGGGCCTGAATTTGATCCCTAACACTGCCCTCTGTGGGGTACAGCTGGCCTCTGTCCTGGTCCTAAGAATGGCCTCCCACTCCCATGGCCCCCTTTATTAAGACCATAAGTAGTTCCCAAGCATTTGCCACCATGGATCCCTTCACTAACTACTCCCCTATTATTTGAATAATATTGTCTAACAATCAAACTGCATTTGTTAAGAATAATTTGGCCTCCTATTTAGTCATCTAAAGAACATGTGACCATCAACCAAGGAGATTATTTGGAGCAGTGGAGACTTTTAGAGGTCCTCTCTTAGGCAGGAAGCCCACCCTGGACAGAGGGAGCAGGCTTCCCTGTGCACCTGTTGTGTCTGAGGTGGTTTCACTCACATGCGGTTGATTTGAGACAGGTGTGAGGCTGGTATGGCTGAGACCACCAGAATTCCCGTTGCTTTCTATGCAAAAAAAGAAAGCAGAGACTTGCTGAGTCAGGTAGTGTCCATTTCCTCACCCTGGCTAATGACTGCACCGGACATGGATGTGAGCAGAGATGCCACAGTGGGCTCTTGTGGGGGACTCCAGCATGCCACTGTGCATGGCCCCTTCCACTGTACCTGGAATGCAGTGTGTCCTTGCCTCAATGCCATTTCCATATTCATCTCCCTTTTCCTTAAGAGCCCCCACTTTGAACATCATCCCCAATCACTCCTGGTTACTCCTATGCTCTTTATACTACTCAGTCGTAATTCTTGATGGTTTTATTAAACATATAAATGCCCCTCTAACACCCTGGCTTCTCGGGTTCTTGATCCTTTTTTGCCAATGACCTTCCCTCCTCCTCCCTCAGCCTCTGCCCTCCCACTGTCATAAACTAGACCTGTTTAGTACCAATAGCTAATCTCTCCATAATTTCAATTTCTGGCATCCCTTTACCTACCAATTATCTGTTGACCCTATAGGGACCTAAAATCTATTAATCTTATTTCCTTCTTATGGATCCTCATCTGCTTAATTTCCTCATCATCCTCCTTAACACTTTAAATGCCATGACCCATCACTTCTCTTAGGTCCTTTTTGGATTTGCAGTTAAATCTAACCCTAATCTGGACCTGCATCCTAGAAGCTGACCGGAAGCACTTCAGGTTTATGACCTTTAACCTTCAGTGGATCCTTAATGCCAATCATACTATATTGACCTAGTTTATTTTCTCTCCAGCTCTTATTGAAACTTTTCAAGTTTTCTCCTTTCTCCTTCTCAACACCTCCTTACCCACCTAATTCTCATCTTATGACACTGCTTCTCATTTCACACACTCCCACCACTCCCAACCATGCCCTTCTTTCCTGTGACTAGCCATGTGGATGAACTGTCTCTGCTCCTACATCAGTATAACCCCACTTCTTGAACACTAGAGTGTATCTCCTTCTGCCTGTTCAAGGACCTCAGTAACAGCAATCCTTTCTCCTGACACTTAAAAAATTCCCCTCTCACTGTATATTCCCACTAATATTATTCATCTCATCTAAAAATTCTCTCACATCACTCCACTTTCCTTTCTAGATATTTCTCCATTCCTCTACTCTGCTTTATACCCAAATGTCCCAAAACGTTTTCCATGCTTATTGTCATCCGTTTCTTTAAATACCTTTCTAACAAGGATTTTGGCCCCACCCCTCCACTAAAATTGCTGTATCAAGATCACCCATGACCTCCACATTGCCAAATTTAATGGTCAATTCTCAGATCTCTCTGCCACAATTGACAGATATAGCTGATCAGGATACAGTATGGTCAGGACTTTTGCCCTTCTCAATCTCCTTTGCTTGTTCCTTTTCTTTTTCTTGATCTTTAACACTGGCTGAGCCTTGGACCTCATCTTTCTATATTTACTCACTCCCTAAGTGATTTCATCAAATCTCACAGTGATGGATTGAGATTCAGTAGCTGAAGGCTCAGTTCAGCCTTGAAAGATTAATACTTTTTAACTTAGTTAAGGCTTCTTTAATGAAATACCATAAACTGAATAATTTACAAACAATAGAAATTTATTTCATCACAGTTCTGGAGTCTGGGAGATCTGGTTTTCAAGCTACCAGCAGATGTGGTATCTAGTGAGGGCATCTTTGAGCTGTCCCTTACTTGGCAGAAGGGGGTAAACAAGCCTCTTCCCTTGGTTCTTCATAAGGACAGTAATCCCATTCATAAGAGGTTGACCTTCATGACCCAGTCATCTCCTAAAAGTCCCACTTCTTCATATTATTGCCTTGGGGATTCAGTTTCAATACATGAATAGAGATGAGGGCAAAAATATTCAGACCATAGTACTTATTAAATTTAATTTAGTTTCACAAACACTTTTCTCTCTTTTTCATCTGCTTATTCTAGTCCCTTTAATATTTACAATGCTTAGAGCACATCAATAAATTGGCATTTGGATTTATAAGCCAAGTGTGTGTTTGTCCACTGCTTGATTCTCTTTATTTCGTGTTAACTTCACTAACAGAAACTTGCTGTCCCAGGCCTTTCCTGAGGGCCCAGTCCTGAATACAGGAGAATGACCTTACCTCTTCAGAAGGTGGTTAGAAGGGATTAGCCCAGCACAGGTAGAAAGGTCTGAGATTTTCCGGGCCTGCCACCAGAGGGCGTCATTCTGGTCCACAATCTGGAGGATGTCGCCCTTCTGGAAAGGCAATCCAGCATCCATGCAGGGGATGGAAGGATCCTCCTGTGGCCAGTAATCCGTCATGGCACGAACGTAAATCTGATGGCAAGTGCATAATGGTGTCATCAGAAGAGCCTTTGTCCTTGGGCTGGTAAGACTTAAAATCATTGCTCCCCTTCTTCTATGAACTGGTCATATCTTTCCTCTCTCACCAAAAAAGAGAATTTGCTTCCTAAACTAAGTACCATGAAAAAAAAAAAAGCTTCTGGGGTAATAGCTCTGAAATGTTTATGTTCAATTTTTCAGAATTTTCAATGTCACTTCATGACTTTGGGGCACCCTATCTCCCTTTATTGTGCTCCTTTACTCATTTGCCTCTTCGTTCATCGGTATTGAAAAATATCCAGCACAGTATCGAACACATGTTAAAACAGCATTGAGGATAGGAGTGTGATACATCATGTTGGATCATGTCATTATTTTGGGACTCACTGTGTGCAAAACTAAAGGTTCAGTCAGCTCTTACCATCTTCTGACTATTCACAGGAGGGTCCGAAACTGGAACCACCTTGAACATGATTGTGCTGCGAGACATGGCCTAGAAAATGACATGGAGGAGAAGTCACGGAGTCAGCAAGGTTGC